CCTTCCCTCCTTTCCTTCCACTCTCTCTAAAAATCAATGGAAAACATATCTTTGGGTGAGGATTAACAAAAATAAAATAAAATAAATATTAGCCGAAACAAAAACAAAGAACCAAAACACCTTCGGCTCCTTTCCCCCTGGTCTCTCCTTTCTAGCCAGTTGGGAAATGCCTCCCACCTTCACCAAATCTGTTTTCTGTTTCTTCTCAGTGCTCCTTCAGTGGCGGGCAACATCCACCTGGGAGTGGCCCCTGTGGGGTCAGCCTCGGCCTTGACCCTGCAGACAATCCCCTTGACCACAGTGCTAACCAATGGCCCTCCTGCCAGTACTACTGCTTCGACCCAGCTCGTTCTGCAGAGTGTTCCGCCTGCCTCAACCTTCAAGGACACCTTCACTTTGCAGGCCTCCTTCCCCCTGAACACCAGTTTCCAGGAGAGCCAGGTGGCAGCGCCAGGGACTCCGCTGATTCTCAGTGGCCTCCCCCAACTTCTGGCTGGGGCCAACCGCTCGACCAATCCAACAGCGCCCTCCGTCACAGGGGCTGGGGCAGCAGGGCCCAGCTCTCAGCCCCCCGGGACTGTCATCGCTGCGTTCATCAGGACTTCCGGTGCCACAGCAGCCCCTGGGGTCAAGGATGGGCCACTGAGACCCTCCTCATATGTGCAGGGCATGGTGACCGGGGCCCCCATGGAGGGGCTACTGGTTCCTGAAGAGACCCTGAGGGAGCTTCTGAGGGATCAGGCTCACCTTCAGCCACTTCCAACCCATGTGGTTTCAAGGGGCTCCCACAATCCGAGCCTTCTGGGAAACCAGACTTTCTCTCCTCCCAGCCGCCCCACTGTTGGGCTGACCCCGGTGGCTGAACTTGAGCTCTCCTCAGGCTCAGGGTCCCTGTTTATGGCTGAGCCTAGTGTGACCACATCTGGGAGCCTACTGACTAGATCCCCAACCCCAGCCCCCTTTTCCCCATTCAACCCCACTTCCCTCATTAAGATGGAGCCCCATAACATATAAATGGGGGGGTCAGGGAGGTGTGGCTCACCAGGCAAAGCTGAGCAGCATTTTCAGATGGACTGCCTCTAGCAGAGACTGACTTGAGCAGCTCTCGTGCCCCTTATCCTTCGGTGGAATGTCAATACACCAGACTTCCCCAAGCCTCACCTCTGCCTGACGTCACCATGGCCAAGCCATGCGCAGTTTGAGCATCCCTGGCATCAGGCCATGGCCTCCAAGAGCACTAGGGGATACACTCTTGTCGGGGTAGTGGGCTGATGTGGTGACGAACCCCCTGAGAAGTTGGTGGCCAAGGCGGGTACAGGGGCTTCATGGGAAGATGATTTTGCCTGGCTGCATCTCACCACTCGTGTTCCCTCAGCAGGGGAGTTACTATCCCACATGTGAATATCTCGGTATGTATTTGTGTGTCCTCGTGGGTCTGTGCCTTCGTTTCTTTGGAGAGGACGAGGGTGCAACTGTGAGGTCTTCAGGAACATGTGTCTCTCTGGGTGTCAGTGGCAAAGAGGATTTAAGGAAAAGAATTCTCTAGTTTCCTTTGTACAAACCAAGATTCAGTTGTTTTGAGACTGTGGGGTGTAGGTTGCATCCCCCAAATCTGGAGAGATGTCACAGAGCTGAAGCAGGTCCCAGGTAGAAGGGCTTTGACCGGTTGTGTGCTGGGGTGACTATAGTTCTGGGGGACAGGAGGCCGCCAAGTGGGATAAAAGCATGAAGAGAGGGAAGGGAACTCAGCACTGGGGAGCAGCCCCCAGCCTAGACTGAGGCCATCTTCCCGGGCTTGGCCTCACTGCCCACCAGTCACTTGGCAGCAGGCGTGGAGCCTTGACCACCCTAGCAGGCTGCGCTGAAGGGTTAGATGGGCCGAGTGTCCCTCCAGGGTTAGACCCAGCCGCCACGCCCCCCGGCAGGGCTGTTAATTGAATGTTGCACCAAGGGCTGGGGCTGTAGGACCAGCCTTCGCGCCGGCCCACACCCTGAACCCTGGGCTCCCTCTTGGTTAATTTCGCTCCTGGTATTTCCCTGCTGCCAGGCATCGCTGGGGTAGTCGCGCAGCGGTGGGGACCGGGTCTGCCTCCGTTGCTGCCCACGTGTGCCTGCGCGCAGCCAGCCTTCTACTTGCCTGTAAGTTTGCCAACCCGCCTGTCCCCACCATGGCTGCAGCACTCACTCACAGGGACTGTCGCCCCTCTTCCCCATCTCTTCCCCAAGGAGCCAGGAGCCAGCAGCTGCGAGCTCCCGTGGCACTCCTGCCCGCGTGACTTCTCGCTTCCCTCTTCCCTCTTCCCTCTTCCTGAGGAAGGCTCAGCTGATTCTCTGGACGCCCCCTCCTCCACCCAGGGCCTGGATCCCCCCCCTTCTCTGCATTAGCTTGCGTCTCTCCCGCCAAGTGTGGGGCAAAGCTAAGAGCCAAGACACGTCAGCCTAGGAAACAATTGTTATCTGGTGAATTTGGTTAATGTGAATCAGTGCCTCAGGACCTTTGCTATGTCCTTGGGCAAAACCATCCACTTGATCTAACTACCTCCCCAGGTTGCTCTCTCCTTCTGGTCACTGCTGAGCCTACTATCCTCTCCCGCTCCCTCCTTCCCCCCAGAGGGAACTATATACGGTTGTGCAGGTGTATTTATTACACGTCTCCAGCACTTGGCATTAAAGTGCCTTTTTCTAATAAATCAGTTTATTATGACAATTTCCTGATGGTGGAAAGTAAAGCAACTTGAGAAAGTCACCTTTAAAATTTTTTTTGCATAAAGATGTTGCGTGGCTTAGGGGTGGTCCTGTCCTACTCACCCCACCTCCATAGAACTCATCCTCTGAAGGTCACTGGTATCTTCATGGTGACATCAAATGTCTTCAAAGTTCTTGGCCCCTGTGAGCCCTCACAGCACGTGACACTACTTCCCATCACCTCCCGCACCAGCCCGGTTCAACTGTGCCCTCCGTCACCGGTCCCCTGTGCAGTGCTGGCCCCAGACCTGCCACTTTCAGAGGGGTGTCCCCAAGGGTCTCATCCATCCTCTGGGCTCTGGATCAGCTCTTTGGGGATGAGCCCAAAACCTAGAGCTACAGCTGCCACTTTTCTCCTCAGCTCCTGGCTCACAGGTCCAGGGGTCTGCTGGATGTTCCCACCTAGATGCCTGCCAGGTCCTCAGTCGATTTTGAAAGTTTCCACACATGCACGCAAAACCTTGCCTATTTCTGTTAATGGTGCCACCAATTTTCTGACTTTCTAAGCTTGAAGTCTCAGAGCCATCTGAAGGCTGCCTTTACTTGACCCTTCCCCCTCCCCCATTTCAGATAGTCCAGTGCCATTCACGTCTCTCAAATCTGGTCTTTCTGCCACATCCCCAGAGCCTCAAACTACCCGAAGCGTATCCCCTCCCTCAGACACAGCCAGAGCCCCACTTTGACCTGTCATGTCCCCTCCAATCTGACCTGCTAAAAGGTCTCAAGGGCTCCTCACTGCCTACACAGGTAGGGGTGAGACTCAAAATAACCTCTAATCCTAGGCAGCCGGGCATTAATCCTTTGTTTGCTGCATGAGGCAGTCCGGGGGTCCTGGGGGACGGGGACACTTTAGGGCTCAGGGCAGTAGTTCCGAAAGTATTTTGAGTTTAGCATCAGCCATGTCTTCAGACAAGGTCCCAAGTCCTTGAGCTCCCAGCAAGGTCCTTCACCATCTGGTCACATCTGACTTCCCCAGTCATCTCTCACATTGCTTCCCCCATCCCCAATGTATGGCTCCAGCCAAATCCATAGTCTCGCTGGCCTCGGAACAGGCCTCTGTTCGTTTCCCACTTCTGCGTTCTTCCTTTACTTGGTTCTGCTCAACCAGAATGTTCCTCCCACCCCACTAGTACCAACTGAATACTATCCATCATGGAAGCTGCCTCCCCAGGGTTCTTTATTTGAAACTTATAGCAATTGCCACTCTTTAAGCAACTGATCACAAACAGCCTGTGACATCTCTGTTGTAATCACAAACTGTTACTTAAATCTTCAATGACCTGGCCTTATTTAGTCACCCCAGTTAGTGTGTTACTTTCTGAGGGCTGGGGGCATATCACCCACAGAGCAGGGCACACTACACGCGAAGCACTTAGGGAGCATCAGCAAACGGTTACTGATTGAGCTGGTGAGTGATGGGGACCAAACTCTGAGATAGGTTTGAGGGATGCTGAACCCCCTCTGCACAGGCGCTCACCACAGGTGCTCCGCTGCCCAGGGCCTGCACTCCCTGGCTCAGTGCCCTCATAGCCCCCCCCAGCCTCCACACCCAAGAGTTGTTACTACTTTGAATGTCCCCCACCCCTAAAGAAACTTCCCTGTCCAGTTTCTTTCCTAACTCAAAGTGTTAAATTAGCTAATATAAACTAACCTGTGCTGATATAGTTATGGGAGAGGGCTAGAGGAGAACCTCAGGAGACAGGTGTCTTTTAACCAGGGTCATGTGGCAACATCCCTGCCTTTGTGATGGTTTAATGGAGTCGAGAGACTCACTCCTCGCCCCCAGCAGCTGATATATTCCTCCCTCCTTCGGGCTCCCACAGCACTTTGTATATACCTCTTACTGTAGCACTTAGCACGATAGGTCCTTAGTTACATGTTTATGTGTTTCCCCTCCAATAGACTGTGAGCTCCTCAAGGACAGGGACTGTGTGTTAGTCACTGATGTATCCCCAGCGCCTAGCACAGTGCCTGGCACACAGTAGGTGCTCAATAAATGTTTATTGAAAGAATGAGTCCTGTATCTAATCATGGGGAATGCAGGCCTATGCTATGGCAGGCAAGAGGGGAGGGAGGAGGACAACTCATACTTGGGGGCAACCGCAGATTTCTGACTTCTAACACTGCAGGCAGCTGCTTCCTTTGCCCGGGGCTGTGGCCACGAGGATCCCAAGGCTGCTTCCAGCTGTGCCTTGCTGTCACCAGGTGTTGCGGGCGACTCCTGAACTCCTGCCCTTAGCCGCTGCCCCTTCCTGGGACAGCCTCATGACCATTTCCTCATTCCTGGGTGGGACTGAGTGACAGAAAGGTCAGGCCGGGTGGCAGGGGCAGGACAAGAAGTCTTTCTCACGAACACAGGTCTTTCTGGCCCCATCACATATTTCTAGCTGCTGGCTCCAAGGCGACTGAGCTCATTCCCGGACCGTCTGCTCCCGGGGCTGGGAGGCCCAGGCGGTC